TCTCACGCTTGAGGTATTCGGCTAATCACAACGCACTGGATAGCTGGCCAGTCAAGCACACCTCGCTTTTTTCAGACCGATGAGCTTTGTAAAAATCGACGCGTTTCAAAAAGGCGGGGCATAGAGGAGAAACAATAATGTACAGTATGTGGAAAATAATGTGTTTTTTTAACTTTAAACCGCATAAACACATTTCATTACACCAAATACACAAAATAATGTTCTTTTTAGCAGCATCATATGACCCCTTTAATACCTGCTTAACACTACATAATATGCTGCTGCTAAGTGCAACCCTAGCTAACCTGTTTCCCAGTAACCCTATTATTATGTATTGGACTATTACCAGTAATTCATCTTGCAAATAATTAAACGAAAATAAGCTGAAATTAACACCGAAAACATTTGTTTGTCATATAATTATCCTTAAGTCAGTCTTATCTCCATCATTTACTGCTGTCATGTTTCCTTTTTTCTTCCTCTTCTTGCTTTTTTCCACTTCTGGCTGCCAGACGGATAAATCCTCTTCATGTTTAAATTAGCAAATGCATGAGTAAGCGCTGTGCCAGTTTGAAAACGGCGGCCGACGCATCACGAGGAAAAAGCAAGCACATCCAGCATAACGCGAGAGGGGGCCCCTAGGGGGGATGCAGATGTATTGCTCCGTTATATTAATAATGACATTTTCGACTGTGCCAATGGTCAGCTGTCGGGGACCCCCTCAAAATGCGGGGCCCCAGGCAATTGCCTGCTTTGCCTGCCCTATTGCTACGCCTCTGGGTAGGAATTAGGGATGCACCAATACCATTTTATTTTTTTTTCAGATTCTGGCTGCCAGACGGATAAATCCTCTTCATGTTTAAATTAGCAAATGCATGAGTAAGCGCTGTGCCAGTTTGAAAACGGCGGCCGACGCATCACGAGGAAAAAGCAAGCACATCCAGCATAACGCGAGAGGGGGCCCCTAGGGGGGATGCAGATGTATTGCTCCGTTATATTAATAATGACATTTTCGACTGTGCCAATGGTCAGCTGTCGGGGACCCCCTCAAAATGCGGGGCCCCAGGCAATTGCCTGCTTTGCCTGCCCTATTGCTACGCCTCTGGGTAGGAATTAGGGATGCACCAATACCATTTTTTTTTTTTTTCAGAACCGATCCGATCTGATACCAAAAATTCTGAGTATTGGCTGATACCCATACTGATCCGATATCAGCAGAGTTTTTTTTTAAATCAGTGTAGAATTTCTATACCTCTGTGTGTTGACCTGATCATCACTCTTTTGTGTGTTAAATTTCATTATAAAAAAAAATAATAATAATAATAAAAAAATCGTGCAGAACTCCACTTAGAAAAGTTTATTGAGCTTTTTCTTTTAACAGTTTTAAATTTCAGTTACTGTGGGCATGAAGAACAATTCATAGTGCTCTCTATTCCACTGTTGTGAGCTAACAGACACCCGGTAGAAAGTAACATAATTTAGTACAGCACTAAATTCCAGCAAGATAAAGTAATTTTATGCAAAACCATTTATCTTTATCTACAGATCAAGTATAACATAGGAACATTGAATCATCTTGGAGAGAGTTTCATCGTATTGACTGTCGTAACTGAACACGACACGCAATTTGAATGCTGAATGGAGGATGACAGACGCAGAATAGTATATGCACAAAATCGGATTTAGATCGGTCTTGTCGACTGATACCCGATCCGGTAGAAAATGGCAGTATCGGAGTGATACCGATACTGTCTGAGTATCGGATCAGCGCATCCCTAGAATGTTGTTCCAAGACCATTGATCTACACTCTAAAAACGGCTGGGTTAAAAACAACCCAATTGGGGTTATTTTGGCAACCCAGCGCTGGGTCAAAAAGGGACGAACCCAGCGCTGGGTTGTTTTAACCCAACAAGTTGGGTTATTATGTTTGACCCAGCATGCTGGGTTACTTTTTTATGGTTTAAAATTACTACACTGCTAGGCTAAAATAAACCCAAATCGAGCTAGACATAAACCTACAAATCTTAGGACATTCTCCTCTTTGACCAGCATTCAT